ATCTCGCTAATGAAAAAGGACTAATACTAGAAAAACATGATGATTTAAAAGATATCGGCATTATAGGACTTATTAAATAATTAATGTAATTTTTTTGTTGAATACTCCTAGATTGTATTATTTTTTATGAATTTATGTAGATGTAAGTTTTCTGATTAAAATAAGAAATTGTTCAAATACTTGATGTTTTTTTGCAATGTCCTAATGAATATTCGATCAAGAATTTTGTGTTATAAATTTTGGCATTTCTAGTTATTGTCCAATTTAACAATGATTCAATATTAACATATTGATGAACATGATTTTTAAAAATTCAGATATTTATTTCAAATATCTTCAAACTGTATAACAAAGACCAAGTTTTTGTTTTTTTAAAGGCGATTGTTGATTTTTTATCTTTACAGTATCGATAGATTTACTCCGGAAAATGCGATCTACTTATTACAATAAATATTTCATGTCTTCTATTTTTATTTAGATGTGTTGTAAATATCTCGACAATAAATTTAAGATTGTACAGATGTTTTTGTGGATTTTATACATATTTTCTTTTGAAAAATAAATAATTTAATTGAGTGTGTTATTTTCTTCACCATTCAAAATGTTTTTGCTTAAAATTAATGTGGGGAAATAATAAAAAAAGAATAAAGCTTTATAAAAATTTTATTTTCTGCAACAACTAAACAATATGCGAACATAAAATATACATGAAATATGAAAAACTGAAATCGTTTTAAACCGAGTTTAAATACCTCCGTAACCATTTGGATACATTGCTTATTTATTTTTTATGACAATTATATTGAAAAAAAAATTAAATATTAAAGTGTAACTCTCTGGAAACATAACTTTTAATTTTAAACAAAAAAAAATCACCGGGAATGTTAAACATTACTACAAAGGAGCTGCAAAATAAAAGTAAAAAAAAAAAAACTTAAAAACTAACAATAGACAAGTTAGCTTCGAAAGCTATTAAAGCAAATAATACGAGTATTCATACGAAATCCGGAAATAAGCGAAAAAAAAGTTTTTTTTTTAATATTTTCGTCAAAGTTAAATAAAATATAGAAACAATTATTAACAGTCCTTATATATGTAATAGCATGTAAGTAACTTTCGTATATCACTAGGGGCAACAATCATTACGAAAAATCAAACAAAACCTTAACAAAACAGACATTTTAAATATTGAGTAATTACAAAATAATAATCAGAAATATATGATACGAATAGAATCGTACATCACATTCAGTCACTCAGTCATTCAGTCTATCTATATTGCTCAAATGCAGTCATAAGATTAGTTAGTCTATCACAAAAGAGCGTATAATTAGAAATAGTGTAAATCAACATACATTCAGTTTATTTCTATTTAGATTCCTTTAAATCTTCCTTGGTCTCTGTTTTCTCTACAACAGGCTCCGCTTTCACGGGAGTCGAAGGTAATGAAGTGTCACCATTAGAAGTAGAATTATTCGATTCACTGCTTACCGTCTTCGTAGATTCATTTTTATTTTCAACTTTTTCTACACTACTATCAATTTTAGACGATATTTGGTCCCGTGTTTCACTTTCATTAACATTTTTATTATCATTGGCTTCTAATTTGTTCTCCTCTACTGGACTATTACTCGCTACACTCTCACTGAGATCTGGAGATTTATGTTCCGACGTATCTAAAGTAGTGCTAACTGTTTCCTCTTCTATACTCTTATCGCTATCTACTTTTTCAACAACTGGCTCGGCAACCGTTTCTTCTTCGATTACTTCTTGACTAGTTACAACAGCCTCTTCTATTTTGTCGGATGTGACAATTTTCTCTTTTAAATTAGTACTAGATAGTATTATAGAACAAACGTCTTTGCCATCTAATAATAGTTTGACCAGCGTCGGTTCCTTTAAACTATCTAAGAATTCTATTTGGAATGTCGTCGCTCCGTCTGCGGCTAATTCTTCTAGCTTCACTTTTGCATCCTCATTAGAGACGCTGGCGAGTCGACAACACTTAGCTATGGGTTCGATAATGCTAAGATCCTCGGGCAACTGTCTAAACGTATCGCATTTAGCTTTGTTTCCGTAGTCAATAAACTGCACGTGATAACCTACATCACAGAACTCCAAGATTTTAGCTCTATACCACTGCTCGTCCTCCGCCCACAGCGCCGCACAAACCGACCCGACTTTAAGATCGGGAACTTGCTCGAATTCCTCACCTTGAGATAACTCTTCCGTTATTTTATCCAAGACGGCATCTGATTCATTAGTCTGCACATAAAATTCATCTAATGAATGGACGTAACAGATTTTGCCGCTGGTATGTAAGTCTTGTCCGAGAGGCGTCGGTCTTTCGGACATGGGCTGCTCCTCACACAGACCGACGAGCTCCTCCGTTACCGACTTCCCTTCCAAGTATAGTTCCACTATGGAAATATCTCCCGCAGCTATGAACTGTATATTGAAAATGGTCGCTCCCTCCGCAGCCAACTCGTTGAACTTTATTTCCGACTTGCGAGACCAGGATTTGATATCGCGTGGTTTCTGGAGCGCGCATTTTCTGGACAGGGCAGGTTTGACTTTCAATTCATCGGAAAGACTTCGCAATTCGTTGGCAATGGACGCGTTACCATAATCCATAAACAGCACCTCAGTACCTTCGGATCCATCAACAATCACTTGCGCCCTGTACCAGGCGCCGTCCTCAGGATACTTAGCCGCACAGATAACACCCTCCTCCCTCTCTTTAAGTTCAGGGAAGTTCTCTGCATCTACCATCGCCGCCTCCATGGCTTGCAGTTCTGCCGTAGCGGTCTCCAATTGTATCCAGAACTCGGAAGGTGAGTTAACATGACTGGCGAAGCACGAGGGGAGGTCACCGCATTCATTCTCTTCAGATCTTGTGGCATGACCTTCTGAGACCAGTTTATCGGTTATGTTTTGGCCATTAACATAAATGTCCACATAAGTCATAATATCTTTGAGAACAATGAGGACATCTACTGGTACGGAGGTGTCGCCGAC